GATTGGGACGAGAACGTCAAACCCGGAGCGCTTCGCAAGTGGACTTCATTTCGAGAAAACCTCATAGCCATCAGCGAAATACGGATACCGCGATGGGTTCAGTTTTCCCCTAATAAAACCATTCAGCTCCATGGATTCTCAGACGCATCCGAAAAAGCATTCTGCGCATGCGTTTATCTCCGAGTGGAACACTGTGAAAACTCGGCATCATCTCATTTGCTCGTAGCAAAAAGTAAAGTCGCACCCCTCCAAACAGTGAGTCTGCCTCGCTTGGAACTGTGTGGAGCGGTCCTTCTCTCCAAACTTGTGAAGCATATTCGATCCCAACTTAATCTGCCGACCCATGAGCTCATACTCTGGTCAGACTCCTCTATCGTGCTGGCCTGGCTAGAAAAACCACCATGGACATGGAAGACATATGTGGCGAACCGAACTTCCCTCATCTTGCAGAATGTCAATAACGCCACATGGAGACACGTATCGAGCTTAGACAATCCCGCAGATTTAGGCACTCGAGGATGCAAGCCACAAGATCTAGCGTCATGTTCCCTATGGTGGAATGGCCCTCAGTGGCTCACCAAACCCTCAGCGAGCTGGCCAAAGAATGCGCCTCAAACGCTCTTTCCCCCTGAACAAAAATCTGTGGAATCTTATCACACAATAGAGAACGAAGACCCTCTCACTCGATTCTCGTCATTTCCTCGCGCCCTTAGGGTAATCGCTTACGTGTATCGGTTCATCCGCAGCGCACGAAAGGAACCAATACCCACGACGCACACACTCACCCAGGACGAAATCAGTTACGTCAAAACCCGGCTCATCATATGCGCCCAACACAATCATTACGCAGAGGCGGTCGCACAACTGGAAGCCTCGAAACCGGTAAATAAAAAAAGCTCGCTGCTATCGTCGAACCCCATGCTAGATAAAAGTGTTGTAATGCGTGTAAACGGCCGCCCTAAGCACGCCGTTCTCACGTATAATGAACGACACCCCATAATAATACCCGAAAACTCCAAGTTCTTTTCTCTCTTCATAGATTTTTACCACACAACTCTACTCCACGCAGGAAAACTGCTCATGGTCCGGATGGTTCAACAAGAGTATTACGTCCCAAGCCTTAAGCAGAAAGTTAAAAAATGCATTTTCCACTGCAAGGTGTGCACCATACACAAGCGAGAAATGCGATCGCAGATAATGGCGGCCTTGCCTCCAGCACGAGCAACCTACTCGCTACCATTTCACACCACGGGAATAGACTTCGCGGGCCCATTCCTGGTGAAAACTTCTTTACTGCGTCGCGCCTCACACACAAAAGCATATGTATGCGTGTTTGTCTGCTTCTCCACCAAAGCCATACATCTAGAACTCTGCTCAGACCTGACAGTAGAAGCCTTCAAGGCCTGCTTTGCCAGATTCGTTGGTCGACGTGATCTCCCCCATAAAATCATGTCGAACAACGGCAAAACTTTCGTAGGCGCTCAAAGGTCAATCCACCGAGAACCTCCCACTTTTCTTAAGAAAGCCGCCTCAGATATCGCTGAAAAATACACCGTTCATGGCCTCTCCTGGCAATTTATACCACCATTCGTTCCTCATATGGGAGGCCTGTGGGAAGCAGTGGTTAAAAGTTTTAAGACGCACTTCAACAAAGTCGCTGGGAATCACAAATTCACGTTTGAAGAACTCACCACACTGCTCATACGAATCGAAGCGGTACTCAATTCCAGACCGCTGTCGCCTTTGTCTCAAGATTTACAGCCTCTTACTCCCGGTCACTTCTTAAGAGGAGCACCACTAGTCTCTCTGCCAGAACCTAACGCAGAAAACCTGTCTCTTCCAAACAGGACGCAGAAGCTCAAGATACTTCACCATCAATTCAGCACCCGATGGAAAACTGAATATTTGCAAGAGCTACACAAACGGCATAAGTGGAAAGGCAAAGAACCCAATATCGCTGTGGAAGACCCCGTCGTCATCAAAGAAGATAATCTCCCACCAAATGAGTGGCGCCTCGGACGCATTGTTAAGCTCTATCCCGGTCCCGACCGAAACGTTTGCGTGGCTGACATCCGTACCCAAAAGGGAATTATAACACGCAACATTGCAAAATTATGCTTGTTACCACCTCCAGCCAGCACTATGGATGCTTAACGCATCAAACTTTATTCAAAATTCTCTTTTCTTTAGACCTCAATATACAGACTCAATGGTTAACCACAAAACACATTTTCACACCCATTCCCACCGTACTTACGCAGAAAAACTAATGTTTGGTTTCAAATTTAATTTCTTCATATGACAAGTGAAGCAGCCATGGAGCTCAGCAAATGTCGCCTTTGTTGCCGCCCCCATTCATTGCGCTACTGTAAAGCTTTTCTCGCCATGACGCCGGCTGAAAGGCATGAGTCAGCCCGAGTACATAAATATTGTGTAAACTGCCTGGCTACCTCCCATGTCACCGGTGCCTGTGACTCTCCAGCCAGCTGTCATCAGTGTGGTAGGGCACACCACACGCTGCTACATCGAACGCCGGCGAAGTCGTCAACGATCCGACGTAGGGAAAGGACTCGTTATGCCGTGATGTCGAACACATGGATGATGATGAATAATTAGCTAACCTTCAACACAGCTAACCTTTAACATATAAACATATATTTGAAATGTAATATAATTACTTAATTCGAAACTGAACATACTCACTATCCTTATATATATATATNCAGTTATTAATTTCAATTTAATCTACAGTCCAGTATATTTTCTCCTTTTTGAATAAACTCGGAATAATTTGTATTACCTAAAAATTTGCTTTACTTATTCATTTAAATATACTCAAACACACCCTTTTACGTTGCCAAAGAGCATCACATCAAAACCTGCATTTTCCAGCAGCTAAAATTGTGTTGTTTAAAATCTAAGAGGAGTGGCAAATAAACTAAGATACAAACTTTATCGAATAGAGCCGGATAACGAGTTTTTGGGTCTAATAAAAATAATAATTAGCTAAAAATAAGTCTAACTCAACATCGTTTTACTTTAACATGAAATACTCAGTCCTAAATTCCCAAAAATGTATATTCATTA